TAATAGAACATTTTAATAGAAATTAATATTTGTTCTTGAACATTAACTTACCAGACACTGAATAACTGCACAAATTAATAAGCGTAACGCAAATAAACCTACTTTTCTTATTCTCCTGTTGCACACACCAAACAAGTCAGTCCAAGACTAATGATGTGGCAATAGGCTGCTAAAATATTCGCTGCTAGTATTAGTGGAGAGAAATAGTGCACCCGCATATAAGGTGCATAAAGGAAATGAATGCAACACAATTATAGTAAGCAGTCATTAGCGAACATTGTACTCTGTTATTAATAATTATGTATAACAGGATACTGTAAAAATTAAGTCACAAAATTTTTATTAAAACGTTTCTTACATACCGTTATATTGGCTGGGCCACAAAAACATTTGTGTGGGCCACATGCGTCCCGCGGGCCACGAGTTTGACATGCTTGTTGTAGACCATGGCTGCTCTTCCCAGAGGAAGAAAGGGGTACCTTTTTCTAATTTGGACGCAAGTGCTGTATGACTTTGGCAGCCCTGGAAAGCAGTGCTAAACCTGACCTACAGAGATGGGGGGAAGAGAGTACCTTTTGGAGGTACAAAGGGAGAGAATCGATGTCCTGGAATAGACTCTCCTCCCCCCCACCTTCCCCCACCACCACGTGTCACTTACATCACCTCTGCCTCTGGCAGTAGAGTTGAGATTATAGTGTTTACTGCTAAACTTCACCATCTTCCCTAGAGAGGTCTCCTGTATGTTTCCTCACATGGTACCTTGCTTCCAAAGCACGGACATTCCTTCCAAGTAATTTAAAGTTAATGCAGACAGATTTTTGGAGCATTTCCTTCTAATGATGATGGATAATCAGAGGAGCCATCGCAGGGCACCATCTGGCAAATTCTGTAGGATAAATGTCCTCCAGATAGAAAGACATAAATCTGCAGTAATTGAATTGAGCAATTTAAACATATTAGATGGGGAGACTTTTAGGGCCAATTTCTCCCTTTTGTTTTACAGACTAGATTGACACCAAACTACTTTGATCTTTTCTAATAGAGGATAATATTGTGGTTTGTTCATTTATTTTAAACTTTCATAAAAAATAATTATCTCCAAGTGGATAATTAAAGGATATTTCTGTCTTCTTTACTATTTGTTTCTATATATTTCCAAACTGTCTGCAATTATTATGTCATTTTTAAAATCAGAAGAAATATATACATTTTTAAATAGTGTTTCTTTTTCCCTCCACCAATGGATAAGATTGGATTCATGCAAGAAAGCCGCCACACATACAAGCTCTGAAAGAGGCTGACAGAGCTGGTCACTGGCTGGACACGAATAAAGCCTCACGGTGCAAACAGGGGACACAAGACACCACGTGTGAAAGACAGACCAGGCGCCACACAGCCCACCAAACAGCAGTGAAATTTGACATAAGACACTACGTCTCTTTGAGCCTCGGTTTCTTCAGTATCAAAAGGGGAATTACAGTACAATGCACCTAAGACTCTGTGTCTGAGCCGCTATTCTAAACAACTGTCAATTAGTTATAATACCAAAGGGTGGGTGGATGAGCATACTAAGTACAGTGACATATGAGAAAGCATTTTGTAAATTACAGAAACATGCAAATGAGCTGCAGTTATTGTTTTTAAGGTCAAAAAGTAGTGGAGGTAGAAAACGGAAAATGGATGAGCTTGAAAAGAAAAAGAGGAGAAAACTAAGTCAGGCATCATGAAGACGTTATCTGCCTATATATGCATATATAATGGGGGCGGTTAGAAGTCACAATGGCATCTCTATGCTTTGCTGTTCATTCACTCCTCACTGACATCCGGCATCCACCCCCAGCTACTCCCCGGAAACAAAGGTCCCCATGTGAGTACCACCCACAGGGCCAAATGTCGGGAGCACTTGTCAGCTAGATTTTTACAAACGTCATTACTGCTCCTGACACTGCTATCTTTGTCCTCATTCTTGAAACTGTGTAGTGCCTTGGATGCCGAGACACTGCTGTCCTGTGGGTCTCCTTCTATCTTCATATTCCTTTGAACTCCCCTGCCCCTGCCCAGCTCCTAAAATGCTCACGTTCCTTTCTCCATAGATACTGTCAACCACTCTCGTAGTTCTGACCACCAAGTACATGCTCCGTCTACATACCTCCAGCCTTGACTGATCTGAGCTGAAGCTCAGGGAACATCCCCCAAACAACTCCACTACCCCAAATGGAAGTCATCCGCTCCTATGGAAGTCATCCACTCCTCTCCCTCAAGTCTGCCCCTTAATCCTCTTGGTTCCCAACTCAGGCAACCAGTAAGGCCAGAAACCAACTCATTTATTCTCCCTCCTCTTTTCTACCATTCTCCATGTCCCTACTTCACAGTTTTCATAGTTCTGTGCCTTTCCTCTTCACCTGATTCTCATTTCTCCTTAAAAATTCAATTCACAGCCTGGCTGGCATGGCTCAGTGATTGAGCTTTGACCTATGAACCAGGAGGACACGGTTCGATTCCTGGTCAGGAGACATGCCCGGGGTTGTGGGCTCGATCCCCAGTGTGGGGCGTGCAGGAGGCAGCAGAGCTATGATTCTCTCTCATCAATGATCTCTCTCTCTCTCTCTTTCTCTCTCTCTCTTTCTCTCGCTCTCTCCCTTCTGCTCTGAAATCAATGAAAATATATATAATAAAATGGGCTGAACCTTTTAAAAATCAGTTAACACATTCCCCTCAAAGATGGCTTTCTGGAACCCCTGGGTGGGGTAGAGCTCAATTTGTGCCCTGGGCATGACTGTACATCCTTGTTGAAGCTTCTGTCTGTAACTGTGCTCCAAACTCCCACCCAACCCTCGGGGTCCCTGGACTCTAAGCTTCTCAGGCTGTTTGTTGGGTTTTGTATCCCTTATGCCCTGCACTGTGCCTGGCACAGAGTAGATGTTCAGTTAACGTTCATTGAACTAAACCAATTTTCACTAGTAATAGTGAAGCTACATAAAAACATGCTGCTTATGTAAAAAAATTTAACTTTTAAGAGTCAAGATAGATAATGTAATCACTGAGCACTGACAAAGTCAAAAGAAGGGGAAGTTCAAACATCTAAACTATAAAACTTTGTCAGGGTGATCACTTCATAGGTTCATAAATATCTGATCACTAATATAGTATTGTATGCCAATTATAATTGAAAATACGTTTTTTAATCTTAAAAAAAAACAACTATGAAAGAGATGACACAGCAGATTCTGAATTTACATTATTTATCTTTAAAATATGCACTTGCATTTATATATATATATATTTTTTTTTAATTGATTTCAGAGAGGAAGGGAGAGGGAGAGAGAGATAGAAACATCAGTGATAAGAGAG